CCAGCCTCTGTGGCTTATTAGCGCCCAGATAAAAATGTGGAGAAATGCCAGAGGATCCATTCCTGCAGCTTTTAGAGAGAGTTCTGGCATAGAGAGAGTTTGCTCTTAACCTGCTGATAGCATCAAATGTAGAGGAAATTGTGTTAGTTTGTTTCACAGCATGTCAGCACCCGATGAATAAGAGATAGTGCTGTACTTAGTCTAAATAAGGCCAAAACTGTTAAACAACTGTAATCTAACAATTGTTTGCTGTAGGAACAGACCTTAAATATTAATTCATATCTTTCTGTTCTACAGATAAAAAGTGCCTTTGCGGGTATTAAGATTGAGGCATTTTCTGCACTTAAATGTTTGTGAATTGTTTAGACAATAAAGCAATTTTTTTTGGCAAAAGTTAAAACAGTAATTAACAACTGTTAAAAACACAACAAATAATTGCTCCAGTAACACTGCTGTAACAAATAGAGTATGAACTCATCCAAAGACACAAAGTTGAACTGACAGGAAGGGTTTTGATTGGTTCAGACATTAGAGATCTTGCATTGTGTCCAATGCAAAAGCTCACAACACGATGTGAATGTCTTGGAAGAAAGCCATTTGGTTTGTATGAGTCAGCTTTAAGGCTATTGTGAGACAGTTTGGCAGCTTGACCAGGAACACACTCTGAAATGGTTTCTCTCAGAAGATTATTGTAATTGGGAAACGATTGGAGGGAATAAATAGCAGTCAGTTGAGCTGAATCAATGTCACCCACCCAGTGCCGCCTCTAGCCTTTTGGGGGCCTTAAGCAAGATTTAGTTGATGACAGCTTTGCACACTCTTGGCATTCTCTCAACCAGCTTCACCTGGAATGCTTTTCCAACAGTCTTGAAGGAGTTTCCACATATGCTGAGCACTTGTCGCTCCTGAGCTCCTCCTCCTCCTGAGCAATCAAAGTGGCTTAGTGGGTTCTACTCTTCTCGTATTTCATAGTTCCGAAAAAGGACGGCAGCTTTCAGCCATTCCTGGACCTGCACGGCCTCAACAAATGTTTAAAGGAGCTCAAGTTCAATATGCTCTCACCAGCACGGGTGTTGCAGGCAGTCTCAAGCGGCCAATGGTTCACCACTCTCGACATGAAGGATGCGTACTTTCACGTTCCTGTTCATCGAGATCACTGGAAGTACCTCTGGTTTGCCTTCGAAAGAGTGGCTTACGAATTCAAAGTCCTCCCATTCGGCCTCTCACTGGTGCTGCATACATTCACAAAGTGCATAGTGCTGAACTACAGTGCCTTGCAAAAGTATTCATCCCCTTTGGCGTTTTTAATATTTTGTTGCATTACAACCTGTAATTTCAATGGATTTTTATTTGGATTTCATGTAATGGACATACACAAAATAGTCCAAATTGGCGAAGTGAAATGAAAAAAATAACTTGTTTCAAAAAATTATAAAAAATAAATAACGGAAAAGTGGTGCGTGCATATTTATGCACCCCCTTTGCTATGAAGCCCCTAAATAAGATCTGGTGCAACCAATTACCTTCAGAAGTCACATAATTAGTTAAATAAAGTCCACCTGTGTGCAATCTAAGTGTCACATGATCTGTCACATGATCTCAGTGTATATACACCTGTTCTGAAAGGCCCCAGAGTCTGCAACACCACCAAGCAAGGGGTACCACCAAGCAAGGGGCACCATGAAGACCAGGGATCTCTCCAAACAGGTCAGGGACAAAGTTGTGGAGAAGTATAGATCAGGTTTGGGTTATAAAAAAATATCAGAAACTTTTAACATCCCATTAAATCCATTATTAAAAATGGAAAGAATATGGCACCACAAGTGGCCACCCTGTGCCTTGATGACTGCTTTGCACACTCTTGGCATTCTCTCAACCAACTTCACCTTGAATGCTTTTCCAACAGTCTTGAAGGAGTTCCCACATATGCTGAGCACTTGTTGGATGCTTTTCCTTCACTCTACCGACAGCCCTTAAACAGCCTGGAGGTGTGTTGGGTCATTGTCCTGTTGAAAAACAAATGGTAGTCCCACTAAACCCAAACCAGATGGGATAGCATAACGCTGCAGAATGCTGTGGTAGCCATGCTGGTTAAGTGTGCCTTGAATTCTAAATAAATCACAGACAGTGTCACCAGCAAAGCACCCCCACACCATCACACCTCCTCCTCCATGCTTTACGGTGGGAAATACACATGCAGAGATCATCCGTTGACCCACACCACGTCTCACAAAGCCACGGTGGATGGAACCAAAAATCTACAAGTCTGTTCTTATTGGTGTCCTTTACAAGTGGTTTCTTTGCAGCAATTCAACCATGAAGGCCTGATTCACACAGTCTCGTCTGAACAGTTGATATTGAGATGTGTCTGTTACTTGAACTCTGTGAAGCATTTGTTTGGGCTGCAATTTCTGAGGCTGGTAACTCTAATGAACTTAATCTCTGCAGAAGAGATAACTCTGGGTCTTCCATTCCTGTGGCGGTCTTCATGACAGCCAGTTTCATCATAGCGCTTGATGGATTTTCGACCGCACTTCAAGAAACGTTCAAAGTTCTTGACATTTTCCAGATTGACTGACCTTCGTGTCTTAAAGTAATGATGGACTGTCATTTCTCTTTGCTTATTTGAGCTGTTCTTGCCATAATATGGACTTGGTCTTTTACAAAATAGGGCTATCTTCTGTATACACCCCCTACCTTGTCACAACACAACTGATTGGCTCAAACACATTAAGAAGGAAAGAAATTCCACAAATTAACTTTTAATAAGTCACACCTGTTAATTAAAATGCATTCCAGGTGACTACCTCATGAGGCTGGTTGGGAGGGTGCCAAGAGTGTGCAGGGCCGTCGGGGCAGGGGGTGGCTATTTGAGGAGTCTCAAATATGAAGTATATTTCAATTTGTTTAATGCTTTTTTGGTTGCTGCATGATTCCATATGTGTTGTTTCGTGGTTTTGATGTCTTTGCTATTGTTCTACAATGTAGAAAGTAGTACAGGTGGGGGGGAACCCTTGAATGAGTAGGTGTTCTGGAGCTTTTGACCGGTAGTGTAGATAATTCCAATAACCTGCATGGTTGGTCTATGGTAATAGTAATGTATATAATATATGCAGTGCATTCGTAGAGTGGTCAGACCCCTTGGCTTTTACCACATTTTGTTACATTACATCCTTATTTAAAAAGATAAATTCAGATATTCAGACACTTTGCTATGAGACTCGAAATTGAGCTCAGGTGCATCCTGTTTCCATTGATCAACCTTGAGATGTTTCTACAACTTGATTGGAGTCCACCTGCGGTAAATTAAATTGATTGCACATGATTTGGAAAGGCCCACACCTGTCTATATACAGTCCCACAGTTGACAGTGCATGTCAGAGCAAAAACCAAGCAATGAGGTCCAAGGAATTGTCCGTAGAGCTCCGAGACAGAATTGTGTCGGGGCACAGATCTGGGGAAGGGTACCTAAAAATGTCTGCAGCATTGAAAGTCCCCAAGAACACAGTGGCCTCCATCATTCTTCAATGGAATAAGTTTGAAACCACCAACTCTTCCTAGAGCTGGCTGCCCGGCCAAACTGAGCAATCAGGGGAGAAGGGCCTTGGTCAGGGAGGTGAACAGGAACCCGATGGTAACTCTGACAGAGCTCCAGAGTTTATCTGTGGAGATGGGAGAACATTCCATAAGGACAACCATTTCTGCAGCACTACACCAATCAGGTCTTTATGGTAGAGTGGCCAGACGGAAGCTACTCATCAGTAAAAGGCACGTGACAGCCCACTTGGAGTTTTCCAAAAGGCACCTAAAGGACTCTGACCATGAGAAACTAGATGTTCTGGTCTGATGAAACCAATATTTAACTCTTTGGCCTGAATGCCAAGTGTCAAGTCTGGAGGAAACCTGGCACCATCCCCACGGTGAAGCATAGCGGCATCATGCTGTGGGGATGTTTTTCAGCGGCAGGGACTGGGAGACTAGTCAGGATAAAGGGAAAGATGAACGGAGCAAAGTACAGCGAGCTCCTTGATGAAAACCTGCTCCAGAGCGCTCAGGACCTCAGACTGGGGCGAAGGTTCACCTTCCAACAGGACAACGACCCTAAGCATACAGCCAAGACAACGCAGGGGTGGCTTCGGGACAAGTCTCTGAATGTCCTTGAGTGGCCCAGCCAGAGCCCGGACATGAACCCGATCAAACATCTCTGGAGAGACCTGAAAATAGCTGTGCAGCGACGCTCCCCATCCAACCTGACAGAGCTTGAGAGGATCTGCAGAGAAGAATGGGAGAAACTCTCCAAATACAGGTGTGCAAAGCTTGTAGCGTCATACCCAAGAAGACTCAAGGCTGTAATCGCTGCCAAAGGTGCTTCAACGCTGAGTAAAGGATCTGAAGACTTATGTAAATGTGATATTTCCGTTTTTCTAAAAACTTGTTTTTGCTTTGTCATTATGGGGTATTGTGATTAGATTAATGATTAGATTACAGTGGTCCTCTGTAGCTCAATTGGTAGAGCATGGCGCTTGTAACGCCAGGGTAGTGGGTTCGATCCCCGGGACCACCCATACATAAAAATGTATGCACACATGACTGTAAGTCGCTTTGGATAAAAGCGTCTGCTAAATGGCATATTATTATTATTATTATTATTATTTAAAAAATAGAATGGGGCTGTAGGATAGCAGGATGTGGAAAAAGTCGGGGGGTCTAAGTACTTTCCGAATGCACTGTAGATGATGTGAAGACACCAACATGCCTGGTTGGTCTATGGTAATGGTAATGTATATAATATATAAATCATGTGAAGACACTAACCTGCTTGGTTGGTCTATGGTAATGGTAATGGTAATGGACATATATAGATCATTTTTAAGACACTAACCTGCCTGGTTGGTCTATGGTAATGGTAATGTATAAAATATATAGATCATGTGAAGACATTAACCTGCCTGGTTGTTCTATGGTAAAGGTGATGTATATAATATATAGATGTGAAGACACTAACCTGCCTGGTTGGTGGTGATGTTGAGAGAGACAAACTGTCGTCCGGGGTTGGTGAGCTCAGACACTCCATTGATGGCCTCCACCTCGAAGGTGTAGTTAGTGTGAGCCAGAAGGTCTGCCACCATCACAGAGTTGTTCCTGAGACCGCTGTGTTGGGGCAGGAACCGCACCGTGCTGTCACACTCCTCATAGTGTCTGCTGTCAACGCTGATCTTACGACACAGGATGTTATAGCTGACGTCCCTCCTGCCGCCAGTCTCCTCGGGAACCGCCCACTCCAGGAAGACCGACGTCTCGTTTACATTGGAAATGGCGTTACGAGGAGCAGAGGGCAGTCCTGTAGGGACAATATTATACTGTGTTGTTCTACTGACACTATAAAATAGTGCTAGAAGATAAGAGGTCCCGTAGGACCAATGATCATTCTTATTCCATAAAGGACTCCACTATCTAGAGGTGTTGTTGGGTAGTTCCACCAATTCGGTGCCTTTTAAGAAGTGTAACTTGGTCAATTTTGGGGGGGATTTCACCAAATGTTCTTATTCTGTCATAAACAACACTATTTCAAATCTTAAATAAATGAATAAAATAAAAACAATATTTACCCAGCAAAGATTCCCATTAAGCTCTAGTTAGGGTTTTATCTAACATTAGCATAAAAAAATGTTTTCCTTCAATTTTTAAATAAAGTATCCTTGGTATGTGTTCCTAAAATTCACTAAAATGTTGTGCACAACATCTGTAACAATCACCACAGAACATTCCCCAAATGTTATCATTAGGTTTTCCAGGTAATGTAATAACACAATGCACCAGTAATGTTTTGCCAGCAAACCAAAATTGTTTATGTGAAAGTTCCCAGAACATATGTTAGGCTGCATCAAGTGTTCTGATAACAGAAAAACTGTCCGGTCGTGCTGATGATTCTAGAATGTTTGTATAACACATTCGCCTGATGTTGCAAGAACATTAGAAAGTCTCTATTTTTTTTTGCAACGCCAGGGTTGTGGGTTCGTTTCCCACGGGGGGCCAGTATGAAAATGTATGCACTCACTAACTGTAAGTCGCTCTGGATAAGAGCGTCTGCTAAATGAATAAAATGTAAATGTGAAACCCTAAAGGAGCTGCAAAGCTCCACAGCGGAGATTGGAGTATCTGACCATAGGACCACTTTAAGCCGTACACTCCACAGAGCTGGGCTTTACAGAAGAGTGGCCAGAAAAATGCAATTGCTTAAAGAAAAAAATAAACAAACACATTTGGTGTTTGTCAAAAGCCATGTGGGAGACTCCCCAAACATATGGAAGAAGTTACTCTGGTCAGATGAGAGTAAAATTGAGCTTTTTGGCCATCAAGGAAAACGATATGTCTGGTGCAAACCCAACCCCCTCTCATCACCCTGAGAACACCATCCCCACAGTGAAGCATGGTGGTGGCAGCATCCTGCTGTGGGGATGTTTTTCATTGGCAGGGACTGGGAAACTGGTCAGAATTGAAGGAATGATGGAGGGTGCTAAATACAGGGAAATTCTTGAGGGAAACCTGTTTCAGTCTTCCAGAGATTTGAGACTGGGACGGAGGTTCACCTTCCAGCAGGACAATAACCCTAAGCATATTGCTAAAGCAACACTCACGTGGTTTAAGGGGAAACATTGAAATGTCTTGGAATGGCCTAGTCAAAGCCCAGACCTCAATCCAATTGAGAATCTGTGGTATGACTTAAAGATTGCTGTACAGCAGCAGAACCCATCTAACTTGAAGGAGCTGGAGCAGTTTTGCCTTGAAGAATGGGCAAAAATCCCAGTGGTAGATGTGCCAAGCTTATAGAGACATACCACAAGAGACTTGGAGCTGTAATTGCTGCAAAAGGTGGCTCTACAAAGTATTGACTTTGGGGGGGGGGGGGGGGGGGGGGGGGGGGGTGAATAGTTATGCATGCTCAAGTTATTTTTTTGGTGTTATTTCTTGTTTGTTTTACAAAAAAAATGTTTTGCATCTTCAAAGTGGTAGGCATGTTGTGTAAATCAAATGATACAAACCTCCCAAAAAACAATTTTAATTCCAGGTTGTAAGGCAACAAAATAGGAAAAATGCCAAGTGGGGTGAATACTTTCGCAAGCCACTGTATCTGGAAGACTGGCTGGTGTATGCTCAATCAAGAGAGCAAGCTACAGCAGACACAAGTATAATCTTGAAGCACATTCAAGACCTGGGCCTCACCCTAATCAGGGAGAAGAGCAACCTGACTCCCTCACAGACAGTGGTCTTCCTGGGGATGTTGATCGATTCAACTCTTATGAGAGCACATCTCCCTCAGGTGAGATTGGAGAAGATATAAGCCTACCTAGACCGTTTCCGGCTTGGATGAGCCGTACCCGTATTAGAGTGCCAGAAGTTACTCTGCTTACTCACGTCGGCTTCTCTGTTGCTTCCGCTTGGCCTTCGTCAACTCAGGCCACTCCAGCGATGGTTCAACTCTCACCATCTACACCAGAGACGACACAGACGTCATCAGCTATCGGTGACAAATGCATGTGTGAGGACTCTGTTGAAATGGCACTCTCACTCCTTCATGTTGGAGGGAGCGATACTGAACAGAGTCCACCGCAGTGAGCTAGTGTGCACTGATGCCTCGCTAGAGGGTTGGGGGGCAGTGTTCAGAGGCATGGCAGCGAGCAGACGCTGGAGTCTCCCATGGAGTGGCAAGAACATCAATGTGCTGGAGTTCACGGCGGTTCGCCTGGAACTCCAACAGTTCCTGCCCTACTTGGAGGGGAAGCATGTCCTGGTCAGATCATACAATACCATGGTAGTGGCGTATATCAATCACCAGGGGGGACTGAGATCACGGCACCTCCACGAAATGGCTTGGGAGCTCTTGCTGTAGGCTCAGACCCGCTTAGTGTCGCTATGGGCACGAGACGACCATTGATCAGCCTCCTGTTGTCCCTCCTCTCTAGGACCCTGTGGCAGCTGCCGCTGAGACCCAACCTGCTGCTTGGCCCTTGAGATGCGTAGATGGGCAAGTCTAGGCATTCAGGACAATGAAGGTGGCATTCCTGTTGGCTATTACCTCTACTTAGAGGGTTAGTGAACTTCATGCTTTTTCAGTGACTGCTGAATGTTTCCGAATGCGTGCAGACAAGGGGACTGTTATCCTCCGGCCTAACCCCTCTTTCTTGCCAAAGGTCCTGTCTGACAGACATGTGAACCGGCCCTTACATTTGTCCGCATACACAACTCCCATGGCTGTGAGTGGGCTTGGGTTCCCCTTGATGAAATTTGCGCCTCGGCGTTGTCTAGCACTTTTGTTAGGTACTATCATGTCAATGTTGAGGCCGCCAACCAGGTCTGGACAGCCGTGTTGGGTGTTGCCTCCACTTCCCTGGAGGGGGATGGAGGGATACAGCAACCATGACTGCCCTGAGCTCAGTGCTACGTGATTTTGCTCGTCTGGCCATGCCTAGTTCAACCTTCCCAAGTTCTCTCACGTCACCCCGCTCCTCCGCACACTCCACTGGCTTCCAGTTCAACCTTCCCAAGTTCTCTCACGTCACCCCGCTCCTCCGCACACTCCACTGGCTTCCAGTTGAAGCTCGCATCTGTTACAAGACCATGGTGCTTGCCTATGGAGCTGTGAGGGGAACGGCACCTCCGTACCTTCAGGCTCTAATCAGTCCCTACACCCAAACGAGGGCATTGCGTTCATCCACCTCTGGCCTGCTGGCTCCCCTTCCTCTGTGGAAGCATAGTTCCCGCTCAGCCCAATCAAAACTGTTCGCTGCTCTGGCACCCCAATGGTGGAACAAGCTCCCTCACGACGCCAGGACAGCGGAGTCACTCACCACCTTCCGGAGACATTTGAAACCCCACCTCTGTAAGGAATACCTGGGATAGGATAAAGTAATCCTTCTACCCCCCCTTACCCCAACCCACCCCCCCCCCCCCCGCCCTAAAAACAAAAAACAAAAAAAACATTGTAAAGTGGTTTACTACTGGCTATAAGGTGAATGCACCTATTTGTAAGTCGCTCTGGATAAGAGCGTCTGCTTAATGACGTAAATGTAAATGTAAATGTAGTTCACCGATTAATTGGGTATTTTGATACCATATTGGAGTGATCCAATATAGTGCTACATAACGAAGGTTACATATGTAACCACGGTTATGTGAGCTATTGGACCACTCCAATCCTCTTATCGGTGATCTACGGCGCCTCAAAAAGGACACAAGGTTGGAGTAGTGCGGCGGCAGCTATTTAAGGGGGTCAGCCGCAGCACTACCCGGTACACGGGACTAATCTGAAATTCTTACTAAGAATGTATCCTGCCGAGCGGAAGGATACCGTGTTGGAGTGATCCAATAGCTCACATAACCATGGTTACATATGTAACCTTAGTTTTTCAATGTTTGAGTTTAAACTGCTAGGGAAGAGAAGACAACGCAGCTATTAGTCCGTTTTTTTTCTTCTTTTGTTGGTGTAATTTTAGCGGGAAAACACATTTTGGCTGGTAAAAAATCAGAGTGGCTGGTAGATTTTTAATTGGAGAATTGATAGACACAGCAAAACAATGCACAAAGTGAAGTTATGAAACAATGCATACCAACGAAATGGCGGGAGAGAGCGCATTCTGAAGAGAGATGTGCCTTGTGCATCTGTGCCACAATCCACATATTCTTGGACTGTGTCATCCCTGCGGCCTCCTCAATGGATTAGTCCACTGAGACAGGTGCAAATCAGACAGGTGTGCCATGAACATTTATTTGCGAATGCTGGACAAAAAAAAAAGGAATGTTTTCAATACAGACCCCTTTTGTCATATTCCATATGAGGCACATATATATACCTTATGAAAGTTGCACAGTATACCCTTAATCTTGTAATAAATCAAATCTAGTGATACATAACTTGACATTTCTGCCATCCATTTTGACATTGTGGGAGGATAACCAACCTTCCAATTAATGGCAATGTATTTCTTAGCCGCTATAAATGCTAAGTTACACAGTTTCTTCTGATAACAGTCTCCAGTATCAACATTTCCAAGCAAACAAAAACAGGGAGAAGGGAGAATCTGTAGACATGTTGAGATAAAAGAACATACTCTTTGCCAGAATTCAACCAGCCTTCACAAGATCATAACATTCAAATATGTTCCCTTTTGTGTTTTACACCTTCGGCAGAGTAATTACATTTCTTAGTGCATGATATTCAGTTTCACTGGCATACAGTATGTTCTATGGATGGTCTTAAACTGTAGTAATTTATGTCTGCGATTATATGAACATGACTGGGCATTAAAACATATCTGTATCCATTCATCATCATAAAAAGTTTCTCCCAGCTCTTCAGCACATTTTTGTGTCATCGGGAAAAGCCTCTATCAACCTTTGATACAGTTTGGAAATCAACTTGAGGTTTGTCAGACTGCCTTAAAATAGTTTCAATCTTTGACGCTTCTGGCTTGTCCAGTGTTTGCTGCACTGAGAGAATAAAGTGTTGTATCTTCAAAAGTTCACCTCAGCGCCATCACAGACTGGTCTTCCCTGGTTGCCTGTTCCTGCTGTGACCCCTGTCAACATCTGATCCTGCTCAGATGAGGCATGACAAAGAATTACCTTGGTGTACATTTATACCTTATATTATCCAAGAATAGACTCAATGGTTCAATAATTGAAATGACCATTATTCCCAGATCCCAGAATGTAGCCTACCCATCACCTAATGGGGATCAGCTAATGGAGATCCTAACAAAATACCATATACGAAAAATGTATAACTGATAGATGCACACACACACTCTACATGTTAATGTTTTAAATGTATGTAAATTGTAAAGTATTTTTTTTTGGTCTGTAATGTATTTTTCGTTATGTGTCAGACTCAAGTAAGACTAGCTGTCGCCATTGGCGTCAGCTAATGGGGATCCTAATAAATCATATCAAAATCAAGTCACCTCAAGATGGAACTTTGTATCCATTTATTGATCGTTATAATATACTGCAAAATTCATCTGAGCTCCGTAGACTGGTTTCCCTGGCTGTCTGACCCTGCAACGACACCTGTCACCATCTGATCCTGCTAAGACATGATGAACATAGTGTTGTGTACTTAATGTGCACAATGACAGTGTAGCCTGTAGAGCTGTTTATACCGTGTCAGTGTGAAAAGTAGGGAATTAGCTATGGAAACTGAAAAGATCAATTACATTGCAATACTGACTCTAATAAAAACTCACATTGCGCTGTCAAAAAATGTCAGAATATCGGTGTTCTGTTTTAGTTGTAATTCTTTCCTAGAATTTCACTTTCCCTGTTGTTGATCTGGCGTAATTTCCTTCAGCTAGAAAATGACCTGTCATGACTTGTTAGGAGGAAGTTGGTCATTGTTGCCTCATGTAGAGCTCAGAGTGCTCTGTTTCAGTTGTCTGCTCACAATTTCAGCCATCCTTTACGTTGTATGCCTTAGGAAGCTTTGTCAGTGAGTATTTTCATTCCTTTTGCATATATCTTTCGTTTCAGAGCATTAGTTGTGGAATTTGGATGTATATGTTTACTTTGTGGAATAGATGGAGACTTTGTTGTCTTTGTGTTTCAGTTTGACGCTGTTTCAACTCAATACATCTTGTGAACATGGAGATCATGCTTTGAGGGTTATTGATGTGGAGGCGTTTATCATGCTGTCATAATATGCACAGTAACGCATACGGAGGACAGTATAGTGAAATGACAGCTCTCTAGCAGGCAGGACCACAAGTTGGATCAAGCAACAGACACTGATAATCCGTCACAACGCCAAGAGAGGCCTACAACAATGACGGCAGTGTAAAGACAACCTCCAACACACTATGGCCGAGGAGCAGGCATCCACCTTCAAACCAGGTCTCGTGCCTCAGCCTCATCCCACCATTCAAGCAGCTCATCTACAGGAGCCACAGCCACCATAGCAAGGGCAAAAGCAGAAGCAGCAAATGCTCGCCTCTCCTTTGTGGAGAAAAAAAGAAGAATGAAAATAGACACAGCACAATTAGAAGCATCTATGGACGTGTTGAAAGAGGTAAAAAAGGAAGCAGCTGCAGCAGTGGCTGAAGCTGTGGCTCTAGAGGCCGCTGCTGATTTAAGCAGTCAGAAAAGTAGCTGCAAACTCAAGCTCGACTCTAACCCACTCGACCCCACACAGCGAACTAGGGAGTATCTCATGGAGCAAGCTAAATCCTACGACACTCCCAAGGCAACGACAGGAGTAGAGCTGTCTTCTGACGACAAGACTAGACAAGGATATACCAGGCCAGAGCCCGCACGTAATACCCTATTACAGCATCTCAAGCCTGAGATTAGTTCCCCTCCTGTTGACACCACTACCGCTGTAGAACTCCGCCTCCCTAATCCGGAGTCAAGGCCAGCCAAGCAGTTTCATCTCACCCCTAGCGTACACAGTTCCCTTCAAGAAGGCCAGAACAACAGCTGGACCCAAAGAGGTATGCA